GCAACTCGTCACATATGTGCAGACAAGAAGATGTTCACTACCTACAATGAGGCTGCAAATGGTGAATAAATTTTCATGGGAAATTCTTCTACTTCTACTGTGGCTGGACAAGGAAATGTGATCTTGAAGATGACATCAGGGAAAGAATTGGCCCTCAACAACGTACTACATGTACTTGACATCCAGAATAATTTGGTTTCTGGCTCTTTGTTAAGTAAAAATGGTTTTAGATTTGTATTTGAGTTTGATAAATTTGTATTATCAAAGAGTGGTATGTATGTTGGTAAGGGATACATGAGTGATGGTCTCTTCAAATTAAATGTAATGACAGTTGTACCGAAAGTTGCTATGAATAAGAATAACACATCTTTTGCTTATATTCTTGAGTCAAATTTATGGCATGATAGATCAGGACATGTGAATTTTGATGCTTTGCGTAGATTAATTGGTTTAGATTATATACCAAAGTTTGAAATTAATCTTAATCATAAATGTGAAATTTGTGTAGAAGCGAAACTAACTAAGGCTCCATTTAAATCGGTTGAAAAGGAAACTGAACCTCTAGAATTAATTTATATAGATGTATGTGATCTTAAATTTGTTCAAACTAGAAGAGGCAAAAAGTATTTCATAACATTTATCGATGATTGCACAAGATATTGTTATGTTTATTTACTTAGAAGTAAAGATGAAGCCTTAGAAATGTTTAAACTCTACAAAACAGAAGTTGAAAATCAACTTGGTAAAACTATTAAAATGGTTAGAAGTGATAGGGGTGGTGAATATGATGCACCTTTAAATGAATTTTGTGTACAACATGACATTATTCACCAAACTACAGCACCCTATTCTCCTCAGCAAAATAAAATTGTTAAAAGAAAAAATAGAACTCTAAAAGAAATTATGAATGTCATGTTACTAAGTTCATGGCTACCACAGAACTTGTGGGGGGAAGCAATATTGTTTGCTAATTATGTTCTTAACAGAATACCCCACAAGAAAACCAATAGCACTCCTTATGAATTGTGGAAAGGTCGACCGTCTGCCTACAAATACTTAAAAGTGTGGAGGTGTTTGGCAAAAGTTGAAGTTCCTGTTCCTAAAAAGATTGAGATTGGACCAAAAATAGTAGATTGTGTGTTTATTGGTTATGCTTAGAATAGTAGTGCATATCGGTTTCTGACTTGTAAATCAGAAATACCTGATATAAATGTGAACACTATTATAGAGTCCAGAAATGTTGTGTTTTTTGAACATATCTTTCCTTACAAGAAAGGACAGGAATTAAGTTCATAAAAAAGAACTTATGATTGTACACAAACTCAAGTGACTAATGAAAATCAAACCCAAGAGACTAGTAATGGTCTCGGCCAACAGGATTTAACTGATGATGAACCAAGACGAAATAAGAGAGCGAGAACATCAAAATCCTTTGGTCCAGATTTTCTGACATACTTGTTAGAAAATGAACTTCAAAACTTTAAGGAAGCAATGACAGATCCTGAAGCACCTTTGTGGAAAGAGCCTGTTAATAATGAACTTGAATCTATTATGCAAAATCATACTTGGGAATTTGTGGATCTTCTACTTGGTTCCAAACCTCTTGGATATAAGTGGATATTCAAGAGAAAAATGAAGGCAGATGGTTCAATAGACAAGTATAAAACAAGACTTGTAGTAAAAGGTTATAGACAAAAAGAAAGTCTGGACTATTTTGACACATATTCATTTGTGACAAGAATAACATCTATTCGCATGCTTATTGCTATAGCAGCGTTGTTTAATTTAGAAATACATCAAATGGATGTTAAGACAGCTTTCTTAAATGGTGATCTAAATAAAAAGATCTATATGGAGCAACCCGTAGGGTTGTAGTGTCGAGGCAAGAAAAGAAAGTTTTTCGGCTTGTAAAATCTCTTTATGGATTAAGACAAGCACCTAAGCAATGGCATGAAAAATTTGATCATGCAATGCTTACTAATGGGTTTAAGATAAACGAATGTGACAAGTGCATCTATGTTAAAAACACTGACCAAGGGTATGTCATAGTTTGTCTTTATGTGGATGGCATACTTATCATTGGAAGCAGTCAAAACATGATCAAATCAACTAAGCAAATGCTAAACAAAAGATTTGATATGAAAGATATGGGGGTCGCAGATGTTATATTAGGAATGAAAATTACTAAACCATCTGACGAATATGCATTATTTTAATCACATTATATTGAGAAAATTCTTGGTAAATTTATCAAGGATGATATGAATATAACAAGAACATCTGTAGACATTAGTCTTTATTTATCAAAAAATAAAGGTGATGCGGTGTCTCAGTTAAAATACTCCCAAATCATTGGAAGCCTAATGTACCTAATGAATTGTACTCGTCCTGACATAGCTTATGCAGTCAGTAAATTGAGTAAGTAAACTAGTAACCCCGAAGAAGATCATTAGAAAGCGATCATTCGGGTTCTTAGATATCTAAGATTTACCCATGTTCATGGTTTAAACTTTATTCGATATCCAGCAGTACTCGAAAGTTATTGTGATGCCAATTGGATATCGGATACTAAAAATTTAAAATCCACTAGTGGATATGTCTTTACTCTAGGAGGCGCTGCTGTTTCTTGGAAGTCCACGAAACAAACATGCATTGCACGATCCACAATGAAATCCGAATTCATTGCTTTAGACAAAGCAGAAGAAGAAGCAGAATGGCTTCGTTACTTCTTAGAAGACATTTCAATATGGCCAAACCTGTGCCAGCTATTTGCATTCATTGTGATAGTCAATCTGCATTAAGCAAGGCACAGAATCATATATATAATGGTAAGTCATGACATATTCGTCATCGGCATAATACCGTAAGGCAATTGTTGTCAAATGAAATAATCTCAATAGATTATATAAAATCTAAAAAGAATATTGCGGATCCGTTAACAAAAGGTTTAACTAAAGAGCAAGTGTATAGTTCATCGAAGGGGATGGGATTAAAGCCTATTACATAAGAGTCATCATAATGGTAACCCTACTTATATGACTGGAGATCCCAAGAACTAAGTTCAAAGGGACAACTAAGTTATGTGTTGCTCGCCAGAAATCACTAAGGGATTAAAATTTCCCTACCCATTCCTATAGTGAAAGTGATATTTGCAATATATGTTGTATGCAGGGGTATAAGGATAAACTTTGCTTTTAATGATTACTTATATCTTGATCCAGGCATAAAAATCAAAACGAGTATAAAGAGATACTCACAATAAGAATCACTTATATAAGTGTTGAACTGGGGCCGGTTCTATGAGAATGAAGAGGCTAAATTCTCTAGAAGTACTCATGAAAACCAAGAGCGTTCAACGCCAAAATGAACACAACAGTGAAAACCACGATGTGTTCGAAGATATTTTGTGTGAAATCTATTGTCTTGGCTTACACAAATGGCTGAACAATTCAAGGCATCGCGTCCATTGGTTAGCTAGTAAGTCCGACAGGTTATCATTAGGGAAGGTTCAAGGCCGAAAACTACCTATCTTGATGTAAGATATTTTCGACTTATACTCTTTCAACAAATTCTGCATATTGTTGCATTTCCGTTGTTATCAAATTCCATTCATGTGGGGGATTGTTAAAAATGGTTGAAAAAATTCTGGGTAAAAATAAAAATTTTTCCTAACTTTAGTCTATTATTTAGGTGGGACTCGTTAACCAAAGTTGGCAGGTCTAGGTGGTAACGCGTTCTATGCCGCGTTGTGATTTACGTGGTATATTTGGTTGCTCAAAATCATTATCGAGTGAATGTGAAATTGAAACCAAAGTGTGTTCCGTGGAAATGGAGTTTTGGTGTAAAATCTTTTAAGGTTTGAAAATGACTTGTCCCACATTGATTTAGTGAGAAGTTTTGAATGGGTTTATAAGGCATGAGATTGAAACTTGGAGTGTGCCCTAAGGGGTACCCAAGTTTCTAGAAGGGAGAAGTTATGGGCAAATTGGGTTAGATCCATTGGACTAAAAAATAACCACACATGCGCACCGCCGCAGTCATTCATCCGGCAGGTTGGGCGGGCTGGGCGCGGGTGCGTGGTGTGAGGTTGGGTTGGACTTGTCCGGCCTAATACTAATCTTTTTAGGCCAAAAATATTTGAATATAATTTTATTTTTGATAAATAAAATTTATTTGAATTCAAATTATTTTGCATCTCTTCAAATTTTGTACAGGTTAATTCAAATCTGTCCAGATTTTCTGTACAAAATTTATCTATTCTAAGCAAATTCAAAACCGAATAGATTCAAACAGGGCCGAACAGGTACTGTATCTGTTCAAAACAGATTGCCACATGTTGGATTCAAATTGAAAAGCCACAAATTCATCTATAAATAAGCAAACCCTCATTTGATGTTTAATTAAGAATTTCCGTCCATATAATTCTGCAATTACTCTCTTCATTTTGCTGCATTTATTTTATTATTTTTTCTGTCAGAAAGAGTATATACTAAGTGTATTCGTTGAACAAATAAATTGAATTGTAGTGCTGTGTTTATTTATTGTTGATCATTTCATCCTGGGAGATAGACGTACATATTCTGAAAGCACTGTAGAGAGGACGAATCTGTCTTAAGGACACAGTGTCAAAAACTGAACTTGATCATATTATTATTCGAAGAAATTAATCAAGTAAGTTATTTAATTTATTTTCTGTTTTATTTTTTTAAATCAGATTTTAATTTGATTTTTGTAACAAAATTAATTCTATTTTTATTTTTATTTTTTTATTTCTAGTTTGATTTTTGTAATCAAATAATTTCTCTCATTTCCTTTATTTCTTTTATATTTTAGTTGTTGTTAAGTACAAACAGAATTTAATTTATTTAAATACAATAAAAATTATCCAAAAGAAAGATCAATCGAATAAAAAATGTAATCATTTTTAGGTAAGAAGAACAAATGATAAGGTAAGGCTGAGAGTATAGTATAGTGTAATTTGCCTGCCTTGCGAACAATAATATCCCAAATTAAAGAGAAGAAAGCATTTCTCATATAATATGGACTACCAACAAATCAAAACTTTATGGACATTTACATTTCAGCATCTGTTTTGGTAGATTCAGATATGAATCAAAATTTTGATATTTTTTTTTATTTTTTTTTTTGAATGATCAGTTGGGACCCCAACAGCTCAAATACATGACTGTCCTCAAAGAATCCTCGGATTGCTGCTTCTTGGCCCTTTCTTTCCTCATCGCCGTGCTCGCAACCTTGGCCGAAGACGATGAAGAAGAAAGCTTATTTCCCTGAGAGAAGGATCTGAGATTGGTCTTGGCTTGGTGGTGAATTGATCTGATGGTGTAGTTCCATCTACAGATCCCCTGATCTTTCAAAGCCTCCACAGCTCCTACGCTCGCGGCCGCAACCCAAGCTCTGCTAGTTGAACTCATGTTTTCTTCTTTCTTGAAGATCGATTTCGATGCAAATCACAAGTAGATAGAGAATTTATCACTATTTTGTGTTGGGAAGTAGATGGATGTATGGTGTGAAAGTGTTTGTGTAGCAGAGATATTTATAGATGATATGGTATGATATGATGTGATGTCAAACATTGTTGGAAGCCTTTGAGTGAAGATGGGAAAAAACCAGGGGCGGGTGTCTGTTTTTTAATTTTTAACAGGTGGGTTTGGGAACAAAATATGTGGCCGTGGTGGGATCATGCGCCCACAGTCTGGTTGTTAAATCGTCCTTTTCAGCCCGGAGTTTGGGAGGAATACCAGTTGCTTTAACTTGTTGCCTTCCTCGTGTGGGGTAGGTGTCATGAGATAATTATTTAGTAATTCTGAATAGGTGATATTTTATAATATTATAATTAATAGCGTTAGGATTTTCTGGAGTGTGAATTCTACAGTGATCTCTTAAAGTGGTTCATCCAAGGGTTGATATTAATCCTCACCAAAACGACGTCGTTTTGATGAGTAAATTGAAAAAAAAAATCAAAAATCAAAATTCAAATTTTCACTTTTCACTCAGTTTTTGGGGAAGAGATAGAGAGAGAGAAAAGGACTGAGAGAGGAGAGAAGAAGAGGAGCCACCCCCACCTCGCCCTTTCCCACCTTGACGCTCTGCCGCCGTCGCTGCCAACCCACCGCCGACGCCTTCCCTGCCTTACTCCAACAGTTTCACTTTTTTTTTTTCCTCTGATTTGTGTTTGTGTTCATATATATGTGAATATATATATATATATATCCTATTTAGGAGCTGGGTTTGGGAATATTTCCTTTTATTTTTTGTATTTATTTTTAATTTCTTTGGATTTTTCGAGCTGGGTTTCTTTGGATTTCTATGGATTTATATATATATATATATATCCTTTTTGATTTCGTTGATGAACATCTCCATGCCTTCTCTCTTCAATTTGGTGCCCAAGCTACCAAAAGGGAGAGAGACAACAAGAGAGAGAGAAGAAGATAAATTCATAACTTGATGCTTTCTCTCCAATGCCAATTACAGTACTTTCTTCCTCCAAAACCCACCTCCATGCCTTCTCTCTTCAATTTGATGCCCAATAACTTGTTAGGAAAAAAAATACAAATACAAGCACAGATTCACAGAGGTGAATTTATCTTCTTGTCACTCTCTCACTCTGATTTTTCAAAGCCCTAATATTTTCAGTCTCTTTTCTCTCTCTCTATAAATGCTTCACAGGAACAATTTGATATTTTGAATTCTGATTTTTTTTTTGATGAGGCTTAATATCAGCCCTTGGATGAACCACTTTAGGATATTACTGTAAGATTACCACTCCAGAGGATCCTGACGCTAATTAATAAACAATGTGAGTAGATAATGTATATTATATTAAATAATTGAATAATATGAATGGACATATTAAATAATAATTGATTAGTAAGTATAGACACATAATATTTTAAAATTATTGAATAATTTCTAAACGTTATGTAATATAAACTTTTAGAACAATTGGAAAAAAAATATTATAAACTTAAAATAATTATAAAAAGATAAAAGTACGAAAGTTAGTTGTATAATTTAATATATAAATTGTTTATACTTTCTTTACATTATAATTTTTTTGGGTTGATGGCACTTTTTTTTTTAATATTTTTATTTGTAGCTGATGGTTGGTTTGGGAAGTGGGTTAGTTTTTTAATTTTTTGATTTTTTTTGATTATTTTAGCTTGGACTAAAAAGCTTAGTTTGGGAAGAACTTTTTGATTTTTTGGCTTTTTTGACTTTTTTTGTGAGAGAAGAGTGTAATGATTATGGGTTGGATGTGATATTTTGTTTGTTATGGCTAAAATAACTTATTTTGTCTTTTGTGGCTATTTTAGCCAAAAAAGCCCAAAAAGCCTCTTCCAAAACAGAGGCTTTGTTTAAAAATATGCTCGAGCGGGGAAACCTACGCTCGAACGGGACTCTGTTTTCTGAAAATTCTGAAATGCTTTTAAAAGTGCATCTTTACATCCTCATCCCATTCTAGGCATTCTTAGGCCTAGTTTAAGACATCTTTGAGGATATAGATGTAGAACACACCGAGGCATTAGGGATAAAGTTATTATCTTTCCCCGCTGTGTAGCTTAGTGTGTTCAATCTGTTAACTGTGTAGGGTTGGCGACTGGAGAGACACGCTCTAGCATACTGTAGCCCAAACCTCTGTGAGTAACAATTTGTAAAGATATGTTCAAAAATGATTATC